TTTTATGATACCTTTAAATTTATATTTTATTCAAAAATAAAAACATAATCATTTTTTTAAAATTACATAAGACCATATTATAACATTGATTAATATAAAAAATAAAATGAAATCTTAAAATCAAGATATATCTCGTTGTATTGTGTGAGTACTCTTCTAGTTCCTTTGTAATATAAATACTTGAGTTGTGATGCATTGGTGAGGCATTGCCCAAGTCATTATGTCCATAGAGGTTCATCATCAATGACTTCAGGCTATTCGTGTTTTTCAAAGGATTAATCGGTTCGGTGTATGTAAGCTAGCCTTGGATATCCACGGTTGCTAAAAAGGGATTTGTTCAAAGGCCTTCCCAAAATTTGTTATGCATCTAACCATTCAACTCTCGAACCGAAAGTTTACTGAATTAAATTTTTAAAAGTCTCAAACTGAATAATTTTTATAACAATTTCTAAAAATTAAATAGTTTTATTAATAATTTTTAAATCCTGATAATTAAATAAAAATTATATTACTATTTATTATTTCAATTTCTCACATACAAATAAATACGTGATGATATATGATCCTAATTTAGAATCCTCAAGTTAATAAAAGTAATTAAGAAAGATGAAAACAAGAACAAGAGGGGATGTATTTAGACAACCCAAATGCAAAGTCAAACTACAAATATCGATGTTTTATAGGGATGTTAAAAAAAAAAACAGTTGAACTGATCGAATCAAATTAAATCAGACCGTATTTGGTAGTTTGAGCCATTTGGCGGTTCGATCCAGTCTAAAAAATAGTTAAACCGCTCTATCTAGTCTGGTCTATGGTTTGAACATTGTTTTGAGCGGTTTGTACCGAACCGACCGTCAAAAAATACATATTTTGTCAAAGACCTTCCAGCCTAGTGGTAAAGGCTTGGGCATGACATAGTCATGAACCCGAGTTCGAGCTCTGGGAGGGGAGTGTTGGCGACATTTAAGTGAGGCGATGTTTAGCCTCCAAATTTGCCGGGTATTAATCGGGCTTTGGCCCGGACACCCTTACAAAAAAAAAATACATATTTATTAACTATATTCAGTTCTCATATTGTAAGCTCAATTTTATGTCGACGATTAAAAAAAAGTTTGTCTAAGACATTATGTTTTTAGTTTTCATTTCCAATTGACCGTGTCATCTAAATTGGCAAAATTCGGAATTTCGTCAAAAATCAAATCCAAAATTTCAGATCCTCATTCGAGTTGTTCAATTTTTGTCCAAATTTGTAACCTTTTTTTCAACCTGTTCAATGTTTTTTTAACTGAAGATATAAATGCATCTTTTATCATTCGATATCATTTTTTTAATAAGGTTATTTTGAATATATATGTTATGTTTTTTTTTTTGAATTTAAAACTAATAAGAGGTCCAAACCATTGAAACCAGTCAAATGATGTACCAAAGTTTCAACTCAATCGATCCGACCCAACCAGAATGATTTCGGTCGAGTTGGATTGTAGTTTTGCTTGGTTTGGGTTCGATTGAAATTTTCAAACTGTAAACATTTGGTTGAGTTGTTTAAATACTTTCAACCCGATCAACTCAACCTATGAATAAACGTGACCACAAATACCTCTAATATTTCATAAAGTAGTCAATAGATGAAGGGCCAAAAATGAAAATATAATTTCTTAGTGCGTGTTTTCCACTGTGTGTGTGTGTAGTGGCCTGGGGTCACTCTCTTACTCCTCCTTTCCGCTCTCCTTTATATGCACACTCCCACCCCCAATTTCTCTTCGTTTTCTCTCTCTGGATCATGCCGGAAAGAAGAAAAGAGAGGGAAATTTCCCGCCAAATTATCCTCCATGAAAGTTGAATAGCTGCTGCTGCTGCTTCTTCTGCTTTGTGATTGCCCAATTGCTTCTACTTCTATCTAACTGGACCCCTTTTGATGTCTGTCGTTTTTCTAAGCAACCCATTTACAAAATCCTCTGATTCGCCGGATAATTTGGTGTAATTTGTTTGAAATTTTGAGAATCCCTTTTTTGTGTTTTTGATCGGTTTTCATGGAGATTAGAAGTCCGATGTACGTACGATCGGGGGTGAAGTTCTCGGAGCATGTGGTGACGACGAATAAGTTCGTTCACGATGAGCCGACGACGACGACGACAGCGGCGTTGGTTAAGCAGAAGGTTGTTAGGATCACGTTGACGGATCCCTACGCCACCGATTCCTCCGGCGACGATGGTGGAGTGGTGATGGTGAGGAGAGTGAAGAAACATGTGTTTGAAATCAACGTTAACCCGCCATCTTCGAGTAATGAAAGCAGAACGAGGCGGCGGCGCGTGAGGCGCACGGGATCGGTGGAGAAGAAGTACAGAGGTGTGCGACGGCGGCCGTGGGGTCGTTGGGCGGCAGAGATCCGTGATCCGAGTCGAAGGAAACGTGTTTGGTTAGGGACATTCGATACACCTGAGGAAGCTGCGACGGTGTACGACAACGCCGCCGTGATGTTGAAAGGTCATAACGCCGTTACCAACTTCCCTACTGTTTCGGTAACGGAAACCGTCATCGTGGAAAGTAAAAATCCGATGGTGACCACAACCACCGGCGATGAAGAACCGGTCAACGACGTCGTCTTATCGCCGACGTCTGTCCTCCCTTTCGACGACAAGTTGCCACCGTTTGATGGCTTGGGATACTGTGACGTGGACGCTTTTGGATTCCATATCGACGTGCCGATTAATTTTCCTGAATTTTTCGTGCCGGAGAAATATTCCGGCGAGGAGTTCGGCGATTTTGACATCGATGATTTCCTCGTTGACGTTGGTTGAAATTATTATTAATTATTAGATATTAACTATTAATTAAGAATGGGTATAAATGTAATTTACGTGACAGATGGATGTACGGGTATATTGTATTATAATGGGTGAGAGAATAGCTGATTCCGTCTCAGCAATTTTGTGAAAATATATAAAATATTATTATTTATAATAGTTTCCTTTTAGGGGTATTTAGGATTGTTTATTTTTTGTGTTTTTTGACTTATTTCAGTCTAACATCGGTGATAAGTTAAATGTTAGTGTTTGGATGAGGAAAAATAAAACTGTTTATACCAGTGTCAAACCGGTAATAAGCAGTTTTTGATAAATTAATCTTTCTGACTTATGAAAAATTGTTTATTACCAGTTTATCATTTAACGTTGTTTTATATATGGAAGTTGATAAGTTTCATTCATTATATTCATGGTTTTAGATTAGAAAATGAAATAATAACATATATTTATTAAATTAGATGGACAGAAGAAATTGATTTGTAGAGTTTGTTAGAATTGTATGGTTTGTAACTGAAATGTCTCATATATATATATATATATGAGTGATCATATGAAAACCACTCTCATTTGTGTAAACCGTGCAAACCACCTTCATCTGTCGATTTCATTGTTTAATCTTATGAAATGCAAACCACCTATATATATCTACATAAGGGAGCGATCAAATGCAAACCACTCAATTTGTACAAACCGTGCAAACCGCATTCAACCAATCATAAATTTTCATTTTGTTCATTTTTTTTGTAATTATGAGAAGTTGATTAATCATTTTTATTGTGGAGGGTGTTAATAATAGATATTATCATCTTCATTATTTTAATTTTTAGAGAAATACATGAAACAGTTTCATTAATTTTAGAGAAATACATGAAACAGTTTCATTAATTTTAGAGAAATACATGAAACAGTTTCATTAAGTATTATATGAAACAATTTCATAACCATATATGAAACAAATTTATCAAAAAAAGTATTTTTATGAAACAATTTCACAAAATTAAACAATTTCATGAAACAATTTCATAAGATTAAACAATGAAATCAACGTATGAGAGTTGTTTGTACGGTTTGTACAAGCGAAGGTGGTTTTCATTTGATCACTCCTATATATATATATATATATATATATATATGGGTTGGGTTTCGATGAGTGTACAGGTTATAATGATAATGATAAGAATAGACCTTCGTCTTTGCATCAATTCTAATTGAATAGAACAATTAGATCAATTCCCCTCTTCACAAATTGTTTTGAAATTTAAAGTGATCAAAAGTTCAAATTTCTTCTTACACTTCTCAACTTAACTCATATTTTCATACGACAAGAGCCACTGAATATGCACAGATACGACCATCGGCCTTTTGTCCATTCCGTTATGTATGTGATCCGATTATTACTGAATAAACTTCCTAATTAAACTAATTATGCAATCAAATAAGGTATTTCTTTCGCAACTAAAAAAACATTGTTTGACCATGAATTTTATTATTATATATTTTTCTAAAAAATAAGTTGACTTAGGGGCCGTTTACCAAACACTTATCCGGTAAGTGTTTACGAGTAAAATTTAACACTATTATTTATTTACCGGGTAAGATTTTAGTCCACCAAAACGACATCGTATGCAACAATTTACCCGGTAAGCGTTTACCATGATAAGAGTCGTCGATATCACTTGACGGGTAAGACTCTTAGTCCTTGTCTCACTCTTACCGGATAAGATTCTTGGTTTTTACCATATTCATGCGATGAGGTAATGTTACTTGATAAGTGCTTACCCGAATAAGCGTTTGGTAAATGAACCCTTATATTAATGTAGCATAATGAGATATGGAGGGAATGGTGGGTGTTTTGGTAAATTGCACAATATATTGCGTGTATATAAAGTAATATATTTGTATGTTGGATTTTGGTTGCTTGGAAGTGAAGCCTAGAATCTTTAAAAAGGGAAAACATATATTACACCCCTTGATTTGGTGGTGTTTTAAGTGGACTGGGTATCTTGGATGTTTGGCGGCATGTATCATCGTGGTCGTCGTCGTCGTCATCATGGGATCATAGTGGAATCTGGTAATATTTATCGGCAAGAGACATTTTTAATCCGATAAACGCTTACCGGATAAAAGTCATTTTCCCGCAGTTACCTGATAAGGTTCTGTAGAGTAAGATTCTCGGTCATTTTTCATGCTTAAGTGGTAAGGTAAGTGATAGCTGTAAACACTTAGTAAACAATCCTTTTACTTTTTATATTCACAATGTATGATTTGACATGATTCTGACATAAAAATGAATGTATGACATTACCTATATGATTTTAATTAATTTTAGGATTATTTTATGACAATGTAAATTAAGGTTTTCATTCTTAAACTTCAGTTTGTTACAAAAAGAATCATGAGACTGTCACATAAACGGGGATGCTCAGGTGGACTAGTGACCGAACCATGTTGGATATGATACCGAATGAGATATTTCAGATGATGTTGAGAGTTGCAGCTATCATGGATAAATCAGAAGAAGAAATATTTCCGTGTTTTGGATACGACGCAGGGGACAAACGACGACATTGACGCGAAACAGATAATATAAGGCCTGAAGGTTGACAAACAGAATACGGGATGAAGAGTGGATTGAATTTACTTTGCACACGCTCTTTTGCTACTTCCTTTTTATGTTTTGCTCTGTTGTTTAACTTTAAATTTTAAGTCGATAGCTTTTACTTAAACAATCTCTTTCAACATTTGGAGACTACACAAGTTCTCAGACAAGCTGACGTCACAAAAAGAAATCCAACAATTTCTTGGTCTATTTTAACATATATTTGTTTTACAATGTTTTTGTTTCATATGTATTATGTTCACAATGTAAAAAAATTACCTGTATTTTTTGTTTCACAAACACATCAAAAAAATTGACATTGTAAATTAAATACATTAAAAACAAATATATATTAAAATTCAACCACAGATAAAAAAAATCATATAAAATAATACATAATATATTAATTTTAAAAAATCCTACTCTACTATTATTTGAGCTTGAGGCGGCTAAAATAAATCAGCAAAATTTCAAAGTAAAAGGTGAAAAATAAACATTGTTGAAATTTAAGGGGGTGTAAATGAAAATATTTTCGTTTGTTTTTGTAATTTTGTTTTCTGCTTTTGGTAAAAGGAGGGGGTCCCACGAGTTGGTTACCAACCAGATATGAAAGTGGCCAATGCCTACCCACGGCCGCCACCCACTATTCCACGCTTGGTGGACTCTCGTAAATCACAAATAATTGATTTTAAAAAGGTTGACCAATGTCTATATGACAAATTAGGGGTGAGCAGCGGAACCGGGTATCCGGTAACGGAACTGAAACCATCTTGGAACCGCCGGTTCCGGAACCGATATGAGTGGTTCCGGTTCCGGTTCCGGTTCCTAAAATACGGAACCGATTGAGAATGGTTCCGGTTCCAGTTCTCAATTTTTCGGAACCGTTACCTGCCGGGTACCCGGTATTTCTCAATAAAAAAATAATAATTATTTTTTAATACCAAATTTATATTAGGTTTACATCTTAAAAGCACGTCGTCATCTTCATTCTTCATCTAAATTCTTCATATAAAATGATTCGTATTTTTTCAAATTGTGTGTTCACTTGGATTCATAGTATATAATCGTTAAACTTTGAACATTTTATATTATTCTATTATGGTTTGTAATCGTTAAACAATATTTGTAACCATTATTCTATATAATTTGTATTCTTACTTATTTATTTAGTGTTTTGGCAATGTTTTATTTTTTATTTCTAAATAACAAAATTTTAATAATTTAGGAAGCGGGTACCCGGAACCGGAACCGGTTCCCGGCGGTTCCGGTTCCAAAAATTTAAAAATCGCTCTAACCGGTTCCAATATCTCAAGAACCGCCGGTTCCGGTTCCTATAAAAAAAGGCGGGTACCCACCTATGCTCACCCCTATGACAAATTACATAAAAAATTGTAATATACTTTATTTTAGGTAACATATTTTTAAAACTTTTATTTTGGTATATAAGATGTGACATTTCAAACATTTAAGTACCTGATTTATCTGAAAACACTGACCAGGATCAGGTTTTTGTTTATATGGCGTAATTTTTTAATATTTTATTAACCCAAGTAAACAAAAATATTCCACGTCACCTGTAACACCACAATTCCTATTTTACATATATTTTATATAACATGAAATATAAATATACACATTGGTGCCAGATGTATACATATTGTCACATACAAAAGTAGCAACAAACTTTTTTCTCATACAAAGTACATGAGTTGCATATATAACACATTTTCAAGAACACGCATAAACTCAACTTCCCAAAATCTATAGATGTAAAATATTGACGAATCTCTTTACATTTTCCATTTCCCTTTACCTTCCACATGTGCCCGACTTATAATGTACATTTTTGAAAGAAAAAAAATGAGGGTTAGACCATAAGGTCTAGTGAGTAATTCATTTGATTTTTATTACAGAGTGAAAGTCACCAAAATACTTTTTGAAAAGTTAATCTTTGAAAGATAATACCTAAATATAATTTATTATAACAAACCTCTTATGTAGCATCATATAGATGAAACAATCTCAGTTCATCGCATCAAACACATGATATATGTAATACACCAACTTGTCACATCACATTGATGCGATGAAATATTTCCTCGCATCATTCAGATGCGATAACCCAAACTTGTCGCATCCTTGAACCATAATTTGTCTCACCATATTGATATGATAAACACACTTGGCGCACCACCAGGATGTGATAAACAAACTTGTCACATATCGACGATGCGTTAACCATAACTTCAGTGTGGTGCAATAAACTCATCTTGTCGCATCTCAAGGATGCGATAAACATAATACTTTGAATCCAAATCCCAATTTCATCGTATCAGAAACATGCGATAAAATCAATCTCATCGCATTATTCAGATGTAAAAATAACCCACGATCAAAAGATCATCATTTCTAGAAATTTGATTATGCCACTTATATCCCAGTATACACCTCTTCTAATTATGTCACCCTTATTTTAATTATACACCTCTCCTGATTATGTCACCCTTGTT